CTTTTGCTTAAACTCCGTTTAAAGGCAAACCCCGGGATTAGCCCGACTAGTAGGAAGGATACCACGAGGGAAATTGTAAGGTCCGTACCTACCTAGATCACTCCAGCTTTGTCTCAAAATTTGCGCGGTTAGGGCGCTAATCCTTACTTACAGGTCGTTCCGCAGCTAAGCTATCACTACGAAGCGCTCTTGGAAACAGCTTAATCCCAGGGTTTGCCTTAATAACTCGTTTCAATGACACCGTCAATAGCCCACTCAAGAATTATAGGTATTCTGGTCTTATCAGACCTGTGAGCTACGATTTCTACAAGAACAGAGCATCTCTTCGGTAAATAAAACTGGCGATTTCCAAGAAAACGAGCAGTACCTAGAGCGACCGGATATCACAGGCTCAATGTAAGGGTTAGAAGGGACGTGGTAAAAAGTGAACAGAGCTATCTACGGAAAAGCATGAACTGTATGAACGTGGCGAATACCGTAGGAAACGTGGAATTGTAAGAGAAAAAACGGCATTTAAAAAGTGTTACCATTACATCAAAGAAAAATCATGGACCGTTTCGCATTTTCCTCAGATGAGCCTTATCATTCTCCAACCCCGGGAAAGGGGAGAGAGCTTAGGGAGTAGTCAGGTTAGGGGTTTATTTGGAGTAGAGTTGGACTCGCCAACTAACATAACCATCACTGGTGGGTAGGGTAGGAAAGTGTGGGAGGGGTGGGGAGCCTGTTGCAATTACACCATTTTACTGAGGATGCTTCAGAAAGTCGAGGAGGAAGCTTACTGAGGAATCCAGTTCGAAAATCGTTGAGAAACCCGGTCCTAAAAAATTCAGCTAAAAATGTACATCAGCTTGAAAACTTGTTTTCTTTTTTTCCTTCCAAGTTGCTTATCTGTGATCATTGGAGACAGCGTACAGAGTCAGAGTCATGCAAGAAAACTCATATTCTGGTAATAAACAATCCGGAAAGCTACACTTTGGGGACATTTCACGGACACGTAGGCGTGGTCAAGATGGCGCAAGATAAGCACGGCGGCGTGTAAGGTGAAGCATCGTGGGAAGTAATTCACCCTGCAATGTGTGTATCAGCGAATTTAGGTCCCTAATGATTTAGCACGGCCGATCAGCATATGTTTCTAGCAAACGAAAGAGCATCCTTAACATAATAGAACGACATTCCAAGGAAACAAAACTTTAATCGCTCCAGATTATGACCGTTTGTGGAATTTTGAACGAGAGGAGTTTTTTCAGTCCTTCGCCTTGCTTACCAAAAATACAAGACAAAAAATAAGTAGCTCCTTCCCCCTTCCCTTTCGCTCCTATTACGAAAGATGGGTTTGAGCCAGCGATTTATAGGATAGATGGAATTACGCATGTTCCATGCACGATGTTTTCAGATAATATGAAACTAGGAGGATAAAAGGAACGAGAAAAGCACGGAGTAATTCACACAATGGCGAAGTAACAAAAAGCGCTCGGATGTCAAATTACGACAGAACGTTGATGGTTTGACGATTAAGTGGTGCGGAGACCTCAAGCGGTGAGACGAGACAGAGTTAATGAATCGAAGAGTTTTTCACTCTTGAAAAACCTTGGGCGCGTGCGCTGCAATAAGTAAACCCATTAAACGACTCGGTCAGGGCTACATAACTCCGCCGACATAACGTTACGGCAAGGCACACCGGAGAGAAGTCATTGTCCGCAGAGCAACTGAGACTGGGCAATTGAAGGTTTGCGGAGGGACCAGACCACTTGCACTCAAATATTTCTAGCCCGTACTCTTTGAAAGCAGATTTTACAACGAAAAGGTAGCTCAATGGAAATAAGGGTAGCGGTGGCCAGTGGTGCAGGGATGAAGGAAAAATTATAGGAAATGACCCAGAATCCAACCCCATCCTTGCCCGCTTCCGCAGTGATGCGAATCTCAGCGGTGCTTCCCTCTTCAACGCTGAAGCTCTCTCTCCCTCTGCTAAACGGCTAGAGGGTCAGACAGCGAGAAGAAGGCGTACCTCGCCCACCGCGGCGAGGGCCATTCTAAATTCGGGGAATATCCTTCGCTGCGGATTGCTATCCGTCCGGCTCCGCCTGCGTTGCGCAGAGTCAACCGTGCACGTTGCGCAGTTTCGCCCGATTAGACACGTTCTCTCGCGCGAACATTCACACTCGCATGCTCGAGCCGTCTGTGTCTCCGCCCATACAGCGTGCGTTGAGGATCTCTCAACGTGCCGTTGCGAACTGCGCAACGCAGGGTTGACTCTGATTGCCACCGTGGGTTTTCCCTCTTTCGTTCTTACCTTAGCGTGGAATCCTTCTTTAAATCCGTCTTATATATTTATAGCCATTAACGCGCTTCTATTAATGGCAGAAATGCTTTGAAGCTCCTGTAAGAACATGGACATCGTAGACTCTCTAGCGCGATCACACGACATACGAGCTACTGAGAATGTACGACAACCCTTCTGTGGTCGCCTATTCCACCCGCCCTTCCATTGTGGTGCGAGCAGGAATGATTACATGAGCATTTTGAAGGAGTATTCGCGCTTGAAAAGGGAGCAGGACTTAACTCACAGTGCTGTATTGCAGTAGTAGTAGTAGGTACTAATTTGCCTTCCAAAGGAAGTAAATGAGATCACTGAGAGGCGGGGCATTTCGATGACGTCATGGGGCCTGGTGGAAGGAAGTTTAGCGATGGTCTTGTCCATGCCACCAGCGCTTTTCCACCAATGACAGCAAAAAACGTCATCAAAGCCGCTCCGCCCTTCGCATTGATGCGACTATTACTCTCGCTGCCCTCTCCAACGCTAACGCTCCCTCTGCCAAACGGTCAGAATCAGACGGCGAGAGGGCGCGAGCGGCGCATATGGCCAGTTAGACCTCTAGTTGTAAGGGTCATAATCTTCGCTGCGGAAAGCGCATTGTCCCGCACTTTTAGAGGGCCTTTCTACAAGGTATATTTCCCATACAAACTTCAACATTACCTAGGAATCCTCCTGCGAAGCATCATACAACCAGTCAAAACTAAAATCAACGACTACTCTAAAACCCACAATTACGGTGTTGCCCTTATATTTTGCGAGTACTCAGGTTTCATCAAACTTTATGCTAACCATTAAAATGACTTTTAAAGAAGCCACAAAGCAATCAATGTCGTCAAAAATAGTTAACTGGAATGAAACTAGAGCATATTCAATAATCTTCGATTAATCATAAAATCAATAATAAAAATAAAATCACTAGAAACGAAAAAAAAACTAAATAAAGTGTGATTTGAAAATACACGTATCAGTGCAATAACGGGGAGTTCTTCATATCAAACTGAAAAAATAGTGATAACCATAACTGGCTTAGAAAAAATAACAGTGACAGGCGATGGTGTTAATAGAACGAAATAATAGAAGATCTAGGTGAAACATAAAAACAGCAATAGGGAGACGTGTTGGCCGAGGTGGTCAGGGTTAGGTAACCCTGCCGATGTCCTCGTAGTGGCAGGGCTACAGCTGTATAGAGGGCAGTGTCCACAGATGGCACAGAGCAGTTCACTGAGAAATGGAAATGGCAGCGTGATGACATCAGTCGTCTGTCATGGGTCAAAGCAAACAACCAAAATATTCGTTGATTTTCAGCGGATATTCCTGCAGTATCCGGTATTTTCTGGCATTGTAGACCTGAAGAAAAGCGAATGAAGGCAGTAAAGATAAAAGGATAAAGCATTTGCCGTTGATCAATCCCTTTTGGGATGCGGCACGCATTCTACTTCCATTTGTACATTCGTAGTGGCGTTTGAATGCGATGTGGCCTATACAATGACTTGCGGGGGCCAGCCGATGTACAAGTCAGTGTTTTTATCCTCCCAGACAAGTCTGGTACCAATTAACCGACCCAGGGACAAGACTTGGCTGGCCTGGGCGGGGTACCCGTCAGGAGGGCCCGTCGCGCGTAAGAAGGCAGAGTCAGCGCACGGACGTACAGTGCTACATTCTATTTAAGCTGACGCGCATCGCTCCAAAGTGCGAGCGACGGGAGATTTACCCGAGCGGCGCCGTGTGTATCGGTCGTCGGCGGGTAAATCTCCCCGTCGCTCGCACTTTGGAGCGATGCCAATCGCTCTCGCGTTGCCGCATTGTGACGGGCGACAAGTCGT